TACAAGCAGTGTAAATAAACAATAGGATTTTTGTATTTTTTGTATTTCTTAGATTAACGGTTTTACTTTCGAACTTTGGGGAGTTCTATTGTCTTCGATGACAGTTTGCTTACGAAATTTTATTGTTGAAATCTGATTCGAAAAACACTGTTTCTAAAGACTTTAACGGAACTCTCTCCTCTATGTAAATATAACTGATTTTAATCGTACCCAAGCACGTACTTATCATAATTATACATTGTAAGCTTTCAAAGACTTGATAGAAGTTATAAGAGACAAGAAAGTTACTTTGAATAGATACATACATCAAATTAGAATCCTTAGTGTTATTAAATGTAAATAAACAGAAAAAATGATGAAATATAATATAAACATTTTTTTATATTTTAATTTTATCCGATAGTTTACACAAGAAAATCAACGATTAAATATATTTATACGTAAAATAAATTACCTATCAAATAAAATTTTAATTGGATAACGTTATGAAAAAACTTGTTCTATTATTATTTCGACATTTGGACGTAACACTATCCTATAGTAAAGACAGATATTTAACTGTAGATTCTATTTCTCTTGAAAGCTTTTTCTGAAAATGAAAAACGCGTTATCAGGCCCTTATAATCGGAATACCGATAAGCACTTTTACAAGCTTTTTAGCGAGCATACCAAGAATGCCATTAATATTAATATTCATGTTTCTTATTTCGTAAAACAAAGCAGTCCAATTTGAAGATCGCAGATGGAATTTGGCCTAATTCTGTTACGAGTGTCATAAAATCATCAACTTCCTTATTATTTTGTTTTTTAATTCGCGTGCTAATTCGTATATTTGTTGTACGGAATGAGAACATGTTTTTTGTTACACGTAGCACCAATGATTCAATAAATTGTGTATTCCTGTAACAAGGAATCTTTCAAACGCCTACCATTTGAATCAGAAATTCCGAAAGCTTTTCCCCTCCTCTCTCATCGCTTTTGGTATATGAAGATACCTCTTGTATTTTCTCATTCTCATTCTTGTGTTTACTGTCAAACCGTATTTCTTAATATATATCTTAACAAGATTTCTACTTTATTGTAAAATTTCTCTTTATACTTTCGGTTATCTCTGTTTTTCTGTATACAACAATACTTTAATCGATCAAACTGTAAATTATAAGAAAACTTCGCGTTTTGTACCTAACATAGTAATAGCAGCGTAGATAACGTTATACAAGAATCGATAAAAAACAAAAAGTAGAAGAAATTAAGATCTTTTACACCAAACAGGAGAAAATGTTTTTAACGGGTCTTGGAGAGAATTTAAAGTAAGTAAATAATAATTATTTTTAACACGAATAGATCTTATTTAATAAAAACTTGAAAATCTATTTAAAACTCTGCCTGACTTGTATCTTATTTTTATTTCAACCGATAAATTCATTAGAAAACACTTTAATAAGCAAACGTCAAAAGAGCAAGATATAAAAAATGATGAAAGAATGAAGAAATCTCCCAAAAGAAATTGGCAAAATCTTTCTGAGAGCATTGATCTATTAAATAACGCGATAAAAAATTTACATCATAGAATTACTGTATTTGAGTCTGAAAAAAAGATATTAGAGCTTGGAAATACTGATTATTCCGAAGAGGTGATAGAACAAGAGATCGGATCTACAGATATCACAGTAAAATTATCAGATGATATTGACAAGCCTTACTTTTGTGTTCATACTCGAGCTAAAGTAATCAATAGTTTAAAGAAACATTTACATCTTATTAATAACTTTGACGGAAGCAATAGATCTGTAGAAGGATTTATTAATGACGTTCAATTGGTATTAAATCTTCTCCCCGAGAAAGAAAAAATATTGTTCATGAAATTAGTTTATGCGAAGAAAATAATTGGCGATGCAAAAATATTACTAGACCAATTTGTAATATCAACAGTAGAATCATTTTTCGAATATCTTCGATACTATTATGGAGATACTAAAATATTTTCGAATGCTATAACTTATAGAAATAGATGCATTCAAGGATCAGAATCAGTATTAACGTATAACAACAAATTTAAACGAGCCCAAAAATATGTTATAGAAGCTATTATGAATAATCCCGCGTTAACAGCATTGCAAAAGAAAACTAATAAGTTAATTGAAACAAAAAATGGATTAAAGGAATATATTGTTGGCTTAAATTACGATTTCAGAATCTTAATTGAATGTTTTTATCCAAGTAATTTAAAAGAGGCACAGAAAATGGCATTAAATATAGAAGAAAAATGGAAAAATAAGTCGTAAGGTGAGCAACAACAGATATATTAATGGATATACAAATAATAATACAAATAGAAATAACAAAGCAAAACTGTCCTCATCTAATAAAAATACTTGTTTTCATATTGATAGAATCAAAGAAAATATGTATAGAACTATATCGTTATGAATTAATTAATAAAAGTTTCATTATAAAATACTAATGTAATAATGTTTTTATCGAAAACTGTATTTGTCCATTAGCAGTCATAAAAAATCCTTTTTTTTTTTATTCCAGCTATTAACATTTGTCAATATTTTTTAATCTATTAGAGAAACCATTTTTAATTACTTAATTGATTAATTAGTCCTTCATCGAAGGATTTTCTTGTATGTACAAAATTTTGATTCTTTTTCGCAATAGAGAGATTCATGATTTTTTGATCGAAAATCGAAGAAAAACATGCCAAGAGCCGCCATATCGTTAATTTTAAAAAAATAATAAAAAAGCTTCAATGGAGGATAAGACTTATTATTATATTAATGATTTATATTTTTTTTTTTATTTTAATTTATCCAGTAAGATGTTCTGATGGTCACCGCGAAGCACTACTTGCGAAATCAGGTCTAACAAAAAGATTGCCATATTTTTGTAAATAAATAATATTTCTTTTCGGAAATTTTATAGAAATCAAGTTGAAACATAATATAAGAACTCTGTTTAATCAGTTGTGTAAAACAAACCTAATCAGTATAAAAAAAAAATTATTAAAAATTTTCTTTTTTTCACGTCTCTGACTGCATCTCAACCTTTATGCGAGGTTATCATAAAAGAACTAGGGGCTGATAGCGAACAAAACCACGCCGATATCTTCCTCTGAAAGGAATCCGCTTGCCTCTCCACCGATAGCCGTCTGTGAGCTCGAGTTATCACTTAGAAATAGTATAAGTCTCTAATTTATCTTAAAGACTTTACCGATATCTGTCTTTGAACTCGGGTTTTTAATTAGAAATAGTCTTAATTACTTAAATATATACTGAGACAGGAATTTTTCTTGTTTTTTCAAGAATAAAAGAGTTTTTTCCTTCACCTGGTGTGGCCTGGGTCAAGTGGCTGTCAGAGCTCAAGGTTTAGACGTTAATAAAATTTGTTAATTTAAATCAGAAATGAATAGTTTGGCACCAGTTTGGTTTTCCCTAACAGAATATATGAGCCGTTTGTTTCTAAAATGGCTTAAATCCATTTATGTTTATAATCGAAATGTTTAAGGGTTTGCATTGGATTCAATTTAAATGTATAGATAACAGATGACATAGTAGAGTCATTTATTCGGGTTTCTAAGGGTGTCAAATTTATAATCCCAATTAGCATAATTGACATTATTTAAAAGATAATATGTTTTGGAAGGCTATAATTGGACTTGTTGAAATATCAGTAAATATTAGCTTGTTCATATATAAACATGTATTGCATTTAATTCAGCTTTGCTAATTAATTCAGCTGACTGAGTGCCATTGTACTAGTCGAACGAAAATATACAGAAGAACGTCCGTTATTTAATCGCAACGTATACTTTTAAAGAAATTTGTTTATCGATTTAACAGTGTATACAAAGATAGCTCTCGAAACCTCGAGTATTCGTATTCGTATTTGTATTCTAATTCTAATTCAAATTGTAACAGTAACTGTGACGTGCATGAAATAAATTTAACAGGACTTATGCCACTTTCAAAATGAACGACACATATAGTTTAAAATAATGGATATTCTTTTGTGTACAAAATTTCAGCCGGCATTTTGTTAATTTTCAAAAAAAATAAAAAAGCTTCGATGGAAGCTTTTACTATTAAACTAATGATTTATATTTTTTGTTTTGTTTTGGATGATCCAGTAAGATGTTCTGATTTTAATTATTTAATAATATTTGAGTCGTGCGACATAGAGGAACGTCTCCTGACAGATTTCCCTGTCACAATTCAAATAAACTGCTACAAGTGTTCAAAATTTCTCTCGCACTCTAGCCTCACTTTGTTAATAATATTTTCGTAAAAATTGTAAAAACTACTTAATGAATATCAATAAATATTTATATTAATACCTTTATATATAAATATACCTTTGGTTTGTTATATTTTATTTTTAGGTACTACTAGATACTTATTCCTCTTATTGTGCCATATTCATTTATCACTATTTATCAATTTTATGTTAGAGCGTGTCGATATTTAGAACTTTATTAAAATAAATAAAATCGGTAATAAAATTAGTTACGAATAATATACAAATATTTCCTGTTTATATTTAAAATTACCCATTTTATACGCTTAGTTTTTTATGGGGTACAACTTGAGCAACTATACTCAACGTGATCAAATGCATATAGATGATACTTTGGAATTTGTTTATCTCTTTTTCGAATCTCATTGTAGCTAAACCTTATTATATTTTTATCAATTTGATATAAAATTTTTAACATTATTTTCACTAAATAACAAAATTAAATAATAAAATTAATAGGAATATGAAGCAATAGGATCAACACTATAATTTATTCATTTGTTTACAGTATNCTTTTTTTCGAATCTCATTGTAGCTAAACCTTATTACATTTTTATCAATTTGATATAGAATTTTTAATATTATTTTCACTAAATAACAAAATTAAATAATAAAATTAATAGGAATATGAAGCAATAGGATCAACACTATAATTTATTCATTTGTTTACAGTATTTTATTTAACAAAGATAATTGTAAGTGTTCACTAATATTATGCCTTTTATATAATAATAGATTATTTTGAATTTAATAAAACACATTTACKTTACACATGTAGCATTATTTATCGATGCCAAATGAACAATAACACTTGAGGGTAATTTTATTAAACTACTCATATCTATTTGTATGAAGGTGTTGTTTCCCAAAACTAAGTGATTTAGACTAGAAAAAGCATTTATAGACATGCTATCGATGCTAGAAAACGGATTCGATTTCAAATTAAGATACCGCAACTCKGTCAAGGTATTCATCCATGTAGTAGGAAGCGCAGTCAGATTATTTTCTGCAAGATCAAGTTTTTGTAACATCCTCAAGTTTAAGAAAGCATCTTTGTCGATTTTTTCGATACGATTACCCCGCAAATTTAATGTCAGCAAATTTAATGTCAGCAAATTTTTTAGATTAGCAAAATAATTTGGCGTAATATTAATAAGCATATTGTAAGCTAACGACAAATTTGTGAGAGAACCTAAATAAGTTAAAAAAGATAGTGAAACAAGAGAATTTCGATCCAAAGATAAACGTTTTAAACGTTTCGCATTTGCTAAGAATCCTGTTGAAATTTCCCTTAATTTGTTTGATGACATATCCAAATCAATGAGATTTCCTTTATTAAGGTACCAAATAGAATTAAGAACATCAGTGCAATTACGAATAGATAATATTGATAGGTTTGTATAACTACTCAAAACACTTCTGAAAATATTATCATTTAAAAATAGCGCATAAATATTATTGGGAAAACCCGATAAGTTTATGGTTCGACGGTTTCTTTCCAAATACAAATACTGCGTTGTCGAAGGTATAAAATTTAATGATTCCAAATTATTATCTGACAAATAAAGATGCGTCAAACGAGGAAATGAAGTTTTTATATATGTCGGAAGAGTTTTTAAGTTATTGTCGCTTAGATCTAAGTGCATGAGATTAGGTAGATTAATTTCTGATGATGCTAAAATACTCTCGTTTGAAATTAATCTATCTAGACTCTTATAATCAACGGAAGTCTCTTTAAGTATTGTTCGAGCTAAATTTAATTTAGTTAATGATTTATGCTTAAATGATTCCAAAAATTTGTTCAATATAGTCGGTACATTGTTTCGTCGAATATTAAGACAGGACAAATTTGGAACAGCTTTGAAAGCATTCGGAGAGATATCAGCGATTTTATTGTCCTCGAGATTAATAGATTTCACGTTGGCGCTGTTGATAAAATTCTCTCTCACTACCTCCAAACCCATATTAACAAGTTGTACATTGTCGCGTTCCTCATTGCCGCATCTATCCATCGGTTCTCCAAAATAAAGACTAAGATCTTCTTCGAATTTTTCCGGATCAATCGATATCGTTATAGCATGTAAACCATGAATGATTTCCATACTTATGATAGCAGCGAAAAAAATAGATGTACTCAAATACCACATTATGAATAAGATCTGCAAAATAAAAAGCAATTTTTTATTTATCAAATTTCCACTTTTCACTTTTGTTAATAACTTGGAACAGTATATTGTTTGAAAATGAAGATAATATAAGAATAACGATGAAAAGTAATACAATTTTAAAGATAAATAATATATTAAAAGATAAATATAGACAAATTTAATTCGTATAAATGGTTATATTTTTATTTATCTAATTTCTAAACCTATTTACAGTGACTCACTTTAATATTCTAACACCATGACTTTTTAAATACGATTCCTCTGCATATCGACTTTGAGTTGAGTTAAAGATTTTTCTTATTTTTACCAAATAATACACTCTTTCTAGTATTCAGAAACGTAAGTCTTATTTGATTAATTAACGACTTATCGACATATTCAGTATCGACATATATAGCAAAATAAAAACGAAATAATACTTACTTTTCGTAACGCAAAAATATTTGGAAACTCTTTTTTTCTACCTCTTTCATTCTAAGAAATTAGTTAGATAGTTTAAAACTTTTTTTTAAAAGCATAATCGTATTAAAAAACTCAGTAAAGGATCACACATCAATTTGGATCGAAAATTGTCATATGTCTTACGTGTTATTAATAAAAAAAACATGAAAAGCCAGAAATATTTGAGTTTTCATATCATTTTTTTAGAAGATATCAAGGTTACCCTCATTTTTTCAAATGAAATAAAGAACAAAAATATTTAAGATTCCAACGTTAGCTGACCTACCGAAAATAAGAATCTTATAAGCGAAAAGAATCTGAAGAAAAGAATTGTTTTCTAAATTTTAACTAAACCCAAGGTAGACATACAAGGCAATCATATTTAAAACGCCATGGTATTTGAATATTAAGGGGGAAGTCATTATATATTTGTTATTGTTGTAATGTATACTTCCACTAAACCCTTTGTAAAGCACGGAACATAATAAAATAATAATAATTTAATTATGTTTTATGTTATAAGGTGGGATTCAAATAACTCTACCGTGTATATTTACGCATCAAAAAGATGGGACACATTTAATACCCCCGTGCCTCAAAGAATTAAATCGTAAAAGCCAGAGATATTAAAAGAAATAAATTTGCACTTCTAGGAAAGCATGTAAAAAACATTTTATTATACACTTAAATTTGTTGTTTTAAGAAATAAGATGGTTCTTATACGAATTGAAATGAGAAACAAATAGTTAAAATATGATAGTGATATTTGATCAATCTTAAAAGTTTGCTTTTCTTACTTGTAAGTTTCGTGCTTGTAGTTATTTGTTCTTATCCGTTCCTATTCTTTAAAAACAGATATTCTATCTGTAGTACTTATCTATCAACTTTAAATCTACCACGTTGATACGTATCATGAGTCATGTGATTCATGATAATATAAGAGAAAGATTCTTGAAGAAATACATTAATCAAGAAACTTTATCTCGAGATTAGATAACTTTCACTTGGAAGAATTGATAGAGATTCGTTTACTGATCACTATTTCAAAAATTAACATTTATTTTACAACAAATTAAGGTTGCTAGCATTTTTTAAATTCTTACTCGATTCGGTTGGTAATTTAATCGAACTATTACTATTGTATTAAGCTAGTTTTTCTAAAAATTTCAATTTAAAAAATGCCTCCTTATCAATATTTTTAAATATATTGTTATTAAAAGACAAATTTGTTCAAAGTCAAAACTGTTAAATCCTGTAAGGTAACAAAAAGTGTGGTTTATATTTGATGAAGCAGTTAAGCCTTTACCAGGGAATTATCTAAAGAATTGTGAGTTGGGGAGTGATGAGATTTGGATGTGAGAAACTAGAGGGGAAGAGGATAGTTAAACTATGAATTTGATTGGAATTCTATTTTAGTGGAGGTAGATGATTAAGAATTAAACTAAGACGCTTACCCTTTTCTGCAGCTGGTGAGATAGGCCTCTGTCTCTGGTTCGATTTACAATAATAAAATAATTCTAATCGCGGGTAATTGAATTTTACTGACTCTCAAATAAGTTATACTCTACTTCTTTTACATTACCGATCAATATTGTTGGACGTTTCACTGATTTTAAAGAATATAGTCTTATTAATTGAAAATAGAATGCAGACTTATTAACTGAAACAGAACCTATTAACTAAAACAGAAATATCGGATTAACAGAAATAAATTATAAGTGTCTTCGCCTTTCTTCCTGATCTTTTTTATAGATCTATTCTTACTCCCACTTCTTTGACTAGTTACTTCGTTGCATAACGAATCGATTTGCAAGATATGAAACTTAGTCTCCTTATTGGGTAGTTACATTGACGCCTACATGACTCATTGGTTTAAGGAATAATCAAAAAGTAGATTTTACCTTTCCGCTAGTGAAGTCCAGACAATTTTGGATCCACGAATTTCTTTAGAGTTTACGCCAATGGGTAGAAAAACTGATCCATTGTCTAATAATTTAAGTGTTTTTTGTGAAATTGCAGTAGCCTTCTTAATAAATGCGAAACATTTAAAACGTTTATCTTTAGATCGAAATTCTCTTTCTTCACTATCGTTTTTAACTCCTTTAGGTTTTCTCACAAATTTGTTAATAGCTTATAATAAGTTTATTGATATTATGTCAGATTTTATTGCTAATCTGAAAAATTTGCAGACATTTAATTTGAGAGATAATCGTATCGAGAAAATTGAAAGAGATTCTTTAACTTGAGAATAATAAAAAAACTTGATCTTCCAGAAAATAATCTGACTACGCTTCCTGCTAAATGGATGAATACCTTGACAGGGTTGCAGTATTTTAATTTGAAATCGAATCTGTTTTCTAGCATCGATAGCATGTCTATACATGCTTACTCTAATCTAAATCACTTATTTTGGGGGAACAACAGCTTCATACAAATAGAGATGAAAAGTTTAATGAGATTACTCTCAAGTGTTATTGTTCATGTGTCATCGATAAATAATACTACATGTGTAACGTAAATGTGTTTTATTAAATTCAAAATAATCTTTTATCATGTAAAAAGCATGATATTAATAAACACTTATAATACTCTGTGTTGAATAAAATATTATAAGCAAACGAATAAACTATAGTGTTGACTCTGTGACGTCCCACCATGCTTATAATTTCTAGAACATTATTTTTCCATTACGCGATATACCAGGAAACCTCCTCCCTATTTCTTGCATGTTAGTCTTAGTCTCAGTCTTAATTTTTGAGATTATCTGGACATTATTCTGAGTCTTTAGCTTTTATGAGTTTGGATGTCTTAATTTATTTTTATTTTATATAAATCATTCATTGCTTTTTGTCACTATCCAATATGTAAGGAATATTTTTACATATAATATAAACTGACTAAATAATATTAACTAAACCCTGACAAAACCCACCCACCCCCCACTAACAAACAACCCACTAATCCCTCCAATACACACACAAAAAAACGAGCATGGTAAGGGTTGTTAAGACTGTCGTGTCCCTATAACGGAAAATCTGTATTTTTTGTCCTTAATCGTATCAGAAGATAAGCGGGTATAGAATGAAATGTTTTATACCTGCATTTTATTAAAATTCATTCGAAGAACGCGTAGAAAAAAACAAATATTTTTTTAACAAATTAAACACCTTGACTGCTCCTAGAAAATACTTTTTTTATTGTTACTTCTAGAAGCAATTAATTGTTTTTATCAAAGATAGGTTGCTAGGCTTACCCTCAAAACCTCTTCTTTTTATCTGAGATTAGGACCAGCTTTAGAAGTAAATTAGGCGAAGTGTTAGCGTCAACAGCAAACGGTATTTCTAAAAGCGATTTGTCCATCCAGGTACTAACCATGCCTGGCACTGCTTAAGTTAGTAATCGAACGAGAACTAGAACTGTCAGAAC